GTTGCATTTTTACATGCTTTCGAACTGCTAGGTTGGCAGAAGCTGGGACAGGTAATGGGAGCTCACTCCATTATGCGGTGCTAGGGATTCAAACCGCCAAACTGCTGACCTTTCTGATTGACAAACTCAGCCTCTTAGTCACTGAGCCACCGTGTCCCTTTGTCCACTATTAGTCCGGCTTTATATTAGTCACATCAAAATAATCTAAGGCCAGATTCTATTCTTTTAAAAAAAAATCATATAGATGCCCTTCATTTCCTTCTTCTGTTTTCTTTTTTCAAAAGAATTGGGATTCAGACCTAAATACTAAAAGTAATGTAAACAGGTTATGTGCTGGAAAGAACTACGTTTATTGGCCCAAAGAGGTCAGGATACATTTTGGAAATGGTCACTGTTAACATAAAAGAAAATAATTGAGAAGGAGTTACCTTCATTATCCTTTGGCCTGATACAAACGTTGTCACTGAAGATCTCATCCACATGGTTCAATATGAACTCTATCACCAACTGTTGGACTCGCACTTCCAAAAAAGCTGCATCTCCATTGCAGCCCTCCGCCTCAATCTCCTTTGATCTAAGCATAATCAGAGAAGCAGTGGGAAGAACAACGAAACATCACACCACCGAGGCACTGCTTGTGAACAAGAGAACTAAATTTCCTAATAAGCCATGTCTGCAACTTTAGAGCAAAAAAACACTGTAATAGCAGCAGAAATTGACCCACATCCTACCTCTAAACCTTTTGGTTCTGCATTCCTTTCGTGACTCCTCACCTACACTACAGACATGCGTAAATCAACTATACACATTACAAGAGTTACATGAAGTACATTTTAAATGGCATGGTCCCTTTTCTATAAAAGATTTAAAATAAAACCCATACCGTAGTCAGCTTATGGAAAGAGAATATTAGTCCAAAGTACCATTCTATTTTCATCAATACCAACATGCTGTTGGGTAGCAAAATAGAGCCAATCACACAGAACTTGCACTGCTCACTTCAAAATACAGAGTCGGGGTAGACAATCGGTTTCAAATGGTCTCCAGACAAATATTTTAGGAATGCCATGATATGAAGGGGGCACTATACATCAACACCAACAGAGCTAAGCTAAAGCAAAGAAATGGTTTGGCCTTAGAGTCATGGTTGCATACCTTCTGTTCACACATAGACTATTCTATGTTCATTTAATTCTCCCAAATTCTTCTCCCTTCTCAGAAACCAGAGCAATTGGGTGTTAAGACGTCCTCTACTAGAGTTCATCAAGTCTGCTTTGAAACAAATACTGTACAAAGGGGACAACTCTTTATAGAGATCCATCAAAGCCTTGGAGACCGATGAACTCTTCAAAGATGCAGCAAAAAATCTGCAGGCAGTCATTAAACACTGCAGTGTGACTTTCAATGAACATTTCCTCCCCTTTTCAGAAAGAAAGAAGAGTCTGAATCTGGGGAAACTTCTTCAAAGAGAACTTTCATGGGGTATATTCAGCTCATAATTCTTTATTATCCTTTTAGGAGAAACGAATGGTAATAATCAACTTATGGTGGAATCAAAATATAGATTTTTAGAAGGACAGCAAGGGAAGAATTAAAATGGATCACAGATCGTAACTGAGAAGAACAGTTTCATGAGTGGAACTTGCCCCTCAGAACAATCCTGGTGCAAGAACAATCCTTGTGTAAGCTAAAAGTAATTTCAAGAATAGTCATCCCATTAAAAGAGACTCAATTATCCAGAGGAGGTTTTCTGTACATGGATTAGTGTATTGATTTGCTTAGTTAGCAAAATGTCTTTGCTAAGCTTTTATAGAAGGAAGACCAAAATTTATGAACAAAGATGAAGTACAATATAACAAGCCCCTTCCCTAGATCTCATTAAGTCAGGGTTTGAAAGAATGTGACAAAAACTCCCATTGATTTCACTGGCTTTTATCAAACATTGCAATGGCAGTTTTAATAATCCTTCCCCTGAACAGTATCCTTCAGATGTGTAGCCTTCAACACCCATAACTTCTTAAACCTAGGAAGACAGTCAGTCGATATGGTACAATGATTAGAATATCAGATTAGGAACAAGGAGCTCCACGTGAAAGCTCTCTTCAGAAAGAAGCCCACCATGCCTATTCTAATGATAGCAAAGATTTCTCCAGATGAAATATAGTTAACATAATATCTAATGGACAGGCTTAAAGGGGCAATTAATATCAGTTGGAGCTGGGGGCATGGCAAGGATAATGATGATTATAGCAGCTTTCCTTCTAAAGGAAAGATCAGCTGAAGTAAGGAGTGTGATGAGATGGAAAATGCTTCTTTCATAACTGATATTTGCTTTAGAACACGACTGTCAAACTCCTGGCCCATGGGCTGGCTGGGTCAAATGCCTTGCCATGCTCATGCCCATTTTAGCAAAGGGGGAAATAGTCCCAATATGTCATGTGATGCCGCCATGTGGATGTGTGTTTGGCACCCCTGTTCTAAAGCAAATATCAGTTATGAAAGAAGCATTTTCCATCTCACCAGACTCCTTACCCCAGCTGATCCCATTTAGCATTTTTAAGCTGGCCAAACTAAAGCATGAACATTCAGTATTGTTGCATGAGATGAAATGGGCGGAGGAGGGGAATGCTTGGTTGTCATTTCAGCTTCCTAAAAGAAGGGGAAGATGAAATGCTATAAATCAACAGGGCAGCATTGTTTTATGGCAGACCAGACAAATAAAATAACACGAGACATAATCAAACATGAAACATATCGCAGCCAACAATATTATGTCAGCAAAAATAAACAGCACACACAAGCAAGGATTGTTTCAGATTACTTCAAAGAACATTCTGATGAAATTCTTATCTGAGCTGAGCTACTTTAAATCTGCTGGCAGAAATTTATGTCCCATTTCTGTACAGCAAAGAGTGAAGACAAGAGCCTTGAAGTGCATAGCAAGCACTTTCGTGTGAATACAAGATATAGCATTACAGCAAGACTCCCTCTACTATACCAGATTATTAAAGATGCAAGGAGGGATGCCCCAGGAACTTCAGAACTCTGCCTAATTGCAACAGATCTCAACAACCTCTCGCTAAGAGGCATAGGAGCCATTTTCTAGGCAACATCCTGTTCACTGGTTAGCAATTCTGCTTAGAGCTGGGGCTACTGCAGTCCAAGTTAATCCACAGGATTTAAGTTATCTCTGAGTGGAACCATCACTTCAAAGCATCAAGTGGGAAAGGACGGGAAAACATCAGAAAACAATTCAACTTGATGGATTTTGTGAGTTTGGCTTTTTTTAAAAAGAAAAGAAAAGAAAGTCTGCTTTGTGTTTTTCATCACATCAATGTTTTGGCCCAAACAATCTCTCCTTCCAACTCCAGCTTCACCCACCTATCCAAAAAGTAGAAATACTTTCTTATCTTGACATGCCAAAGTGTTGCTGAAGAAATTATCTCTGGGCAACACAATCCTTTGTAAAGCTAATGGCTGAAGTGCTAGATAAAACTCAAGAAGGGATTCCTTCAACAGGATAGCCTTGTAAGGGAGGTACAGCTACTTTTCATTTTCCCTGGGGATACATATTTATATAAATAAGTGTAGCTTCCACCACCGCCAAACCACCCCCTCCCCAAAAGAAAAAAGATGGACTACGCAGGAGACAAAATTAAATTTTGGAGCAGTTCAAGAACTGCAAAGATGGAGACAAGTTTTGCCCTGTATTTTCTGACGCTCAAACCCTCAGCCTCTTGTTGACCAGACTGGTATCCTTGAATAAACTCATTGTTAATAGTAGATCACATGCAGTGTATTTCTGCCTACTCACAATGGAAACATCTAATGAGAAACTTATGTTTCCAAAATTACATGAAACAAATGGACCTGTGCACTAGTGCTTCCATAATCAAATTCGTATCAGTGTATTGTTGCTTGGAGAAATACTGTGTCAGATATCTCCAATATACTTTATGAATCATTGCTCCACCTAATACTAGAAACTTCAGTAAATAGTGTGTGTGTGTGTGTGTGTGTTTTCCACTCTTCTTCTGCCTTGCAATGAGGACACCAGATTCATCTGACAAATGGACATGGTTACAGCAAGCACATAAACAGTGTTGGGATTTTGCAGTTTCTTTCCTAATTTAGAGGGGACGAGATTTTTTTTTTTAATCTCTACAAAGCCTATTTTAGGAGTTGCAACACCATTTTCATGTCCTATTGAAAAATACTGTGGAACTATAGCACAGGGGTATCAAACTTAAGGGCCATGGGCCAGAACTGACTCATGTGGTGCTTAGATCTGGTGCATAGGGCCACCCTGGAAACAGTGAAGGGCCGGCCTACAGTGCCTCTGCCAGTGAAAACGGAGCTCGGGAGGGGTTGCAGGAGGCAGTTACAGCCAAAAACAGAACTCGGGAGCTCGTTTTCGCTGGCAGGGTGGTCAGGCTGCCACAGACACTCCCAATACGAGTGATGCCAAGCTTTGCCATGTCCACTCTGGCCACGCCTCTATCCCCCCAAGGTCAAACACAAACCTGATGCAGCCCTCAATGAAATCAAGTTTGACACCCCTGCTATAGCCAATTTTTCAGCAATCATTTTACTATACTTTGAGAAAAGCTCAAAAAACAGGCTTGGTTCCCTTCTCCAATCATGGCCTATATCAGTGGTTCTCAATCTTTACTTCACACAGACCCCCTTTAAATACCTTTTGTGGCCATGGAAGCCCAAAACTTAACTCAAGATTTAAATCATAACATTTCTTCAAGCTTGTGATGAAAACGTAGCACCACCCAGAAGTCCGTGGACCACAGGTTGAGAACCACTGTCCTATTTGATCAGATAATTCAACTTCACACCACTGTTTTTTCTTTTGGTTTCTCTCCCCGTCTCTCTCTCCGTCTCTATCTATCTATCTATCTATCTATCTATCTATCTATCTATCTATCTATCTATCTATCTAAAGTTTACATGAACTCTTGATTGAATATTTTATTAAAATACACATTTTATAATTTTTGAGATTTGCAACTTTTTCAGGTATTCCCTTTACTTTTTCCAAGAAAACATGGGTCACTGAACTATATATGAACACCACATCAGGTTTTATGGCCATGAAAATGGGAAAACAAAAAACAAATTGCTGAGATTCATCTCCACAATCATATTTAAATGTACGCTTCTCCCCCACAGCTAGATTTGTCCACGAAGTTCTGATGAGCACCTCTACTATACATTTCCATTAACTTTCTCAGTATTGCCTTGAAGATAAAGAAAAAGAGTACGTGTATTTATCATACCTAAGGAGATTAGGTGCCCACACTAAAGCCAGGTTTCTGGTGTGCATGTTGGTCATGCCGCTGAAGGATGCCAGAAGTGCCAGGTGCTTGCTTAAGTATTCCAAGGTCCTGAAATAAAGTAATCAAGACAAACCAAGAACAAATATGACTATCGCAATGTGGATATGAGGCCATCTGGAACTGTTACAATTAATGTAACACGCAGTAGCACAATGCTAATGCCTCAACTAAAATCTGTACCGATTGCCAATTATTAAGCATATTTTAAGGTGACAATGTAAACTAAGCAGGATTGGGATTGAATGTGCAATCATTTTGTAGCTAAGGTTAACAGCTAGAGAAGTTTTTAAAAAAATATTGATATTTTTAAACACAAGAATAAGACTAACAGTAAAGGGGCGGTGCTAATCGCCATGTCAAAGCCTAAGAGCCAGCACTGTCAGAAGACATCTCCATAGTCATGTGGCCGGCATGACTAAATGCTGAAGGTGCATGAAGCGCTGTTACCTTCCACCAAGGTGGTCCCTATTTTTCTACTTGAATTTTTTATGTGCTTTCGAACTACAAGGTTGGAAGAAGTTGGGACAAGTAATGGGAGCTCACTTCATTACACATGGCATTAGGGATTCGAAACGCTGAACTGCTAACTTTCTGCTTGACCTTCAGATCATCTTAGCCACTGAGCCACTGTGTCCCTTTTAACAATAATACTAGTACAAACTTTTCTTTCTGTTCTATTTTTCTGCTTTTTTTCTTTTTTGCACCTTTAGTTTTTTCTTCATTTTTCTTTTTTGCTATATATATATAGCTCTAGTTAAGTTTGTACTAGTCTTATTCTTACAAACTAAACTAGAGCAAAAAAAAAGAAAAGAGAAAATTGAAGAAAAAAACCTAAAGGTGCAAAAAGAAAAAAAGCAGAAAAATAGAACAGAAAGAAAACTAATATACAGAAGTGGCATCTATGTTTAGCAGACTTTCTCTCCTGCTCTGCATTCCAAAATTAGATTAGTTCCATCCTTTTTGATATTATGAAATATCCTTCAAATTGCTTATGTTATGAGGCCTGGGGCTCCAGTTAATGTGCTTAGATGGCTCCATTGTTGAGGCAGCTATTGTTATCCTCTCTTCACCTAAGGGTTTGCACATATGTTAATTTTATACTATTTATTTCTTAATGTATATTTTTATATCTGTGGTTTTTATTCAATTGTGTGCCACCCAGAGTAAGATGGGTGAGTATACAAATTTTGGTGAGACAGATGAGTATACAAATTTCATTAATAATAAATATATGAATAAATCTTCTTAATAGCAGTTACAAGTATAGTTATAAATTGACTTTACATTGTGACTCCCTTCTTTCTATAATTTCTAGTGTCTAATCATCAAATCTATAAATCATAAGTTCAGACTTTTTTTAAATGCAAAAAGTCCATAAAGGATTTACAGTCACCAATAAATGTAGATATTGTCTTAGTTATACTGGCCTTTGAGTGGTTTGCTAGGATCTATGTTCTATCTAAAAAGTGAAAGCGGCCAAAGTAAAGATGTTTAAGAATAGACACTACATTTTCATTATTTTTAATTAAAAACTTTTAATAAACTGCAGCTAATATGACCACTGTCTATAATCATATTTCCCATCTTATGTCACATCTTATGTCGTATTAAAAATTACAAATTTAACACCATTTCCAATTGTGTTTGAGGATTGCAGCACAAATCCTCATTGTGGCCTACTACATTAGCTACTAATGCACTAGTTAAGTACTCACCCCACCCCACTTTCATTGAAATATTTATTTTCTTCTTCTTACTCTTACTTATCTCTATTGGGGGGCATTGGGACCTCACAAATCCACAATGTTCCTCCCACTGAACATCTGAAACTGAATGAGGAAAAGACACAAAATACATTAAACCTGAGCTATGTAAAACCTTATCTGAATTATCTTGAAGGTACATGTGACTGAGGAGCCAGCTGGTTGTGCAATTATCTACAACAATGCTTATACAGCAGAGACTCAAAACAAAAAGCGTTTTATGATTGAAAATATTTTGATTGACAATAAAAGGCTTCCTGGAATTTCAAAATGATATGATAGAGACCTGAATACAGTAATAAACTTCAGTAATAGATGAGTAACCATGAAACAAAAGCACTGGAAGAACGTGGCTGGGAAAAAGATGGTTTGGATAGATGGGGTACAGAGATGATTTGTCGTGATAATATAACATCCTGTCTGTTTCATTTAAAATATATTGAAAAAATATAGCTAAGTTGTTGAGCAATTGTTTGATTAGTAGAGTATTAGTGGACTATCCAGTCTTTCAACTAGTTAAAAACAGAGCAACCTCAGCATAAAGCATATTTTTCTGATTTTATCTACCTGCAACCCACAATAGCTACTAAGTTTTCTCTTTTACCTATAATGTGAGGGTGGAAGTTCCTGGATAACATTATGAATCTGGGCCAACTGCTCTTTCTCAGAGAGGCACGAGACTGCTTCCTGAAAAGATATCAACAAAAAGAAATCAAAAAGTATTCAGTTAGTTCACAACTATTTCTTGAAGGCAAAAACAATCTTGTTCACAATATCGTTACCAAACTGATACACAAAATAAACAGACATGGAAATAATGATGTCTGCAGAAAACCAGCAGCAGCCTTCCATCAAGTTGTGTCAGTAAAATAATTGTAATATGTATTAGGAAATAATGACATTTGGGGAATTAAAAAAAAATGAGTGTGATGTTGATCATTAACTTTCAAGGGGATTAAGAAATTGCACAAAAAATAGACCTGCCAAAAACTATTTGTCACGAGCAATATACAAAATTTTCAAATGATATGGTGACATATCAATTAGTATATTAGGGAAGGGCATTGTTTTCCTAATGATCACATTATGAATGCCAAAGAAGTCACCACCTCAATCAGTTTTCTGCATAAAATGGCACTTTTCAGATTACATGAGACCATTGAACACAATGCTGGCTAAGGTAAATGTTCCCCTGCATATGTGTGCTAGTTGTTTCTAGCTCTAGGGGGCAGTGCTCATCTCCATTCCTAAGCCAAAGAGCCAGGGTTGTCCAAAGATGTGTCCGTGGTCATGTGGCTGGCATGCTAAATGGAGAACTGTTACATTCCCAGGTGATCTCTATTTTTCTACTTGCATTTTTGATGTGCTGGGTCAGTAAGTAAATCTTTATTATGGTCAAAGACCAGCAATACACATTAGTTTTTACACTATGTTAAAAAAAAGACTGACATTAAGATATAATTAAAAGATATTGATGTTAAAAATGGAAAATAACATAAATGTCAGATTGTTCGGGTCACGCCCTGGTTTACCTGTGTGCAGCGCTGTTAAGTATAGGAGTAAATACAATGGTCCAAAGATTTACTTACTGACCCAGCACATCA